CGTCACTGCGGCTCGCCGCGCCGTAGTCGAACGTGCGTCGCGTTGTCCTTCGAATTGCGGTACGAACGGCACGGAATTACGTGCGTGATCCTGTCGTTGACGTCTTCTTCGTTTCTTGTAGTGTGCACTTGGCGATGCGGAAAGAGAATGGCCGTGGAATGGCCGTCTACCGTAGAGGAGAGCCGCGAATTCGTCGATTGTCTTTTCCAACGGACGTGTGAATTTAAGTGCGCGCTTATTTTAGAGCCCTCGATTGGATACGCGTTTTCAAGATTCGCGGGTACACGTTAATCCGTGTGCACGAATTTAAGGTACCTTCGTTCACGTGTACCTGTGTATGTGACGTATCCGTGCGTGTGTGTGTGTGTGATACGTGCGCAAATATTTATGAAAATTTGATGAAAGTTTCTCCGTTTCTGCATATGTTGTTCGACATATGTACGCGCATAATTCCAGCGTTCCAAGTTTTATCCAGACTTTGTCACATAATTCTCAAAATATTTCCCTGTTGAGGTATACGCGGGCTACACGTTTACGCGCGTCACATACACGGATATTCGCGTACACGTTCGCGGATTCGCGCAAGTACAGATCATTTTACCGGCTACGAAATATTTCGAGAGATATTTCGGATGATTGTCGAATACATAAGAATGGACTGTGAACGAGCCTTAATGCGTGGTCTACAATGCGAGTCGCAGTCGTAAGAATAATCGACTGCGATTGGTCAATTTCGTCAGACACATAAGAATTGACCAATCATCGTAGTATCGCGGGGGCCGACGGTTATCGGCGCTGGTCTGTTCGTGAAGCATTGAAATAATTTTGACGAGTAACGAAAGATACGCCGTACCAGCTTCGTTTTTTACTGACTTTCACGTGTTCGCGGCACTACGTAATTTCGTGGAATCGACGCCGGCGTTCGACACCCGCGAAATTCTAACAATTTTCGCGATTGATTAATTTTAATATCCGATGCAAATTTTTAAGTACGACGTGAGAGAGATTTGTTTCAAGTTCGATCGTTAAGAAAGGTATCGCCCGTGAATTATCAAAATTAAACTAATTTATATAATTCTATTATCGTATTTCTACATTTCAAATTACGCGTGATAGTCTTCTCAACAATTATAATATCTTACACGCGATCGATAAATATGAATAAATCTCGTACGAGACAATCGCGGGGGTAGCAGATGATCGAGATTCTTGTAAGAAATAATCGCGTTAATTACGAGCAATACGAAAACACGCGGAACGTCCGCCTCGACTGATTCAACAATAGATTCTTTTCGACCGAGGTGTTCGCGGCGCTACGTAATTTCTTGAAACCGGCGCCTCGGCGACAGAGTTGTTAATGCCCGTTCTACACCTAGAGATGATTCTGTTTGCAGCTTATCCGAGGGAGGCTGATGGCAGAGAACAATCCGTAAACGCTTAAGACTGTCTCAGTTGTAGACTCAGTCGTGAAAGACTATTGTATACGACTTACGTTTCTCTCTGCCTTACCCTACGTCTACGACTAAGCCAGTCTTAGCGCTGGTCTACAATACGTGGAGTAAGGAGTAAGGGAAAGCCCTAACTTGTAGCTTTTGGTGTAAGGAAACTGAAATACGGGCATAATTTTTAAAATATTTGTAACACTGATTGATGGCATTTTGATTCACCGAGAGTAAGAGCTGAAGTAGAAGTAAGAAATAAAATGGATTTATTTTCTTACTCCTACTCCTTACTCCAGCTTACTCCATGTATCGTAGACCAGCCTTTAAGCGTTTACGGATTGTTCTCTGCCATCAGCCGGAGTAGTATAAAGTGTAAAAGGTACACTGCGATTAGTTTCCAATCGTCCCGACGTACCGACCCAAAAATTGTGAAATTCTCGGAATTCCAATTCTTGAAAGCGTTGAAAAATTCTTAGGATTTTAAATAGTACCATCTCTGTCGATCATGTTCTCCCATGGACGTAGGAAATATCTGGAAGGGACGTAAGTACACTTATCGGTGCGAGGAGTTGGCTCTTAAGGATGAGGGGCATCTATCGTCACGGCCGTCTGAATCAGCATGATTTCAAAGCTCACTAGATCGCTCTTGGTCCTCTCTGCAATAATTATCCAATATATCGAAGATAATAAATTATACGTCAACCATTTATTACAGGATCTCCTTAGTACATAATAAAAACCCGGGAATATACAGTGATTGTGTATTCATCTTTTCTTTTACACAAATTTTGTATATACATGTAGATAAAATTTATCGAGACAATTTACCCACAATATATCGTGGCTTATTCTTTCCAATCAGTGAGAAAGAAAAAAAGAACGACACTTTTTGCGATGGTACATATAATGAAATTGTGTGCGATTTCGAAACACCAGTTACATCACGTAGCACATCCTACTTCTACGCAGCTCTATCACATTGTCAACTCCTGAAATAAAAAAGTTAACAGAATGAATCGTCACTTCTCACATTTGTAGAGCACAGTTTACTGATAAGAAACGAGTCAGTCTGCCAAGATATATTCAACATAACTTCTCTTCTGATAAAACTGTAGAAGCGAAACTTTTAAAACAATCATCACGTAATTATGAAACATATTTTGCACATTTGCCGCATAAATGCACGAATATATACTTTGAGACTCACCATAATAGCATTGACGATGTCATTTTGATTATTCTTAAGAGCTTTAATAGCCTTCCCTCGCGATACATTAGCCTGACACATGACCAAATCAACGTCCTTCTCCTCCACGCCTGTCTCATCCACCTCTTCTTCCGATTCTTCTTGTATCGGAGCAACGACCTAAGAAAACGAAGTAAAACAAAAGAGGAACGTTATAAATAATGTTGCGCATTAATATTGCATTTCCAAATATACGTGTTGTATTTTGCAACTATATGTCTTACCGTAGTACTGCCTCCAGCTTCAGTAGCTGGTATAACCGGTGGTTCCTTAAACTTCTCAGCCGCCGCTACCTGGGCTTGTTGACTGAGATCTTCAATCTGTACAGAAAAATATAAATATATATGAAGAGATATATTAAATAATTTAAATTTAGTAACAAATAACTGTTTAATGTCAGTCTGCCAAGGTATTTTTCAACATTTGATTTCTGTTATAGTTAGCGAAACTTAGCCATTCATCATAGGAGTTTAATAAATATGCGATATTTACTGTTAGGTAGTAGTCGTTACCTTTGCTTCGCCAAATACTATGTACGTGTCCGAAGCTGGGTTCTTCAAAACGTCCGGCTTATTAATAACAAACAGAATGTTCTTTGATTTACGAATGGTCACTCTATTGACTCCTTGTACCTGCACACAACAAACAAAATTAGTTTCGAATATAAAACGCGAATTTTAAGAGGAAATAGAAAGCGGAATGTGTGAAGAAATCACGAAATGATTACAAACAAGATTGTCTCACTGCAATTTCAATGAGAACTGACAATATTTGAAATAGCAACTTCTGGCCCACTTTGCACAATCGATCTTGTAATCGGCAAGTCTTAAGCCCAATGTCCAAGAGCTAGAACTTGGACCAAGTTCTAGCATCGTGGACATTGGCCTTTAGATCTGATCGCAAATATATCTCAGTTTGTAGAAAGTTTGTAGTTAAAAGTTTCGAATGAAAAATCATGAGATTATATAATCTATTTCTAGGGCAACCAAATAAATTTATCAGAATATTTGACAGTTTGTACCGGTTTCAATCCTAATTTGCTCATGAGCTTCCTGGCCTTCTTCTCGCCACGGCTCTGCTTAGCCTTGGACACCATATCGATCGGGAGTCCGGTGACCGATGTGTTGGCAAAATTGGAGACATCGGTGTTGGGGGACTCTTCTAATTCCGGAATGGTCTCGTCCGAGTCGGAGTCAGTCGCAGAACCGATACCTACCAGTTCCACCTTGGTAGGCTCCGAGCTCGCCGCCTTGTCAAGTTCCGTTAATTCCGGCATGTTTACTGATCTGCAAAAACGCATTATCGTAGTGTTACGTCTATGTAAAGAAGCAAGATCTTTGTCAACGTGGTGACAAAGTTCGAGGTGAAAGGCATTACAAGCTATCGGTAGCTTCGGAGCTTTCGGCGGCGACTCGCGGTTCCATTTAAGGCGACTGAAGCACGCCTGGCCAGCAAAGCAGATTCATGTAAAATTAGTGAGATACACGACGAGAATCCGACGTTTCACGACGGAGCGTCAAATTGTCAAATCGACGGATTGCCGTGTGATCGACGCTGTCGCATCGAATATATCATTGTACGCGAATGGACATTATGGCGTCCGTTAGAGCAGCTAGAGAAACTGCTTACTGAGGACTCGTTTTGACTCTCCTTGACATTTACCTAATGCCGCGATTCGTCTCGGTGCACTGTACTTGCGGATATCACGTCCCGTCACCGTTAAATCGTACTCGGGACCACTCGGGACGCTCCGCCAGGTCGTTTCACGTCAAATTGGCGGAAACGAGGCTCGCTGGGGCCGCGTCACATTCGCACGCGATATCAATGACGATAAAGTGTATCGCGCGATACTATTAGCGCAGGCATCACGGTCGATGTCAGATCTCGCGATATACACGCGTCCTTTAACATATTACATGACGATGCCGGAAAAATCGTTAGATTTACCTCGAGCGCTGCTCCGCCGACGAACAATATTACTTTTAACGCGTTGGTTGAGGCGGATTCACATGCAAGGCTGCGTTCAGAAACATCACCCGAGCGGCCCAGCGTATCGGTTTATCCTTGTTGCTATGATTGGTCAATTCTTATGTGTCTGATGAAATTAACCAATCGCAGTCGATTATTCTTACGACTACGACTCTGCGACTCGCATTGTAGACTACGCATTATGCTGGGTCTGTTCTTTATAGCGGGAGTTGCAACGGGCAGGAAAAGAGATCAGAATAATTAAAATGTATTATAAATTAATATTAACGGTATTTAAATGGAATAAAAAGATTGTTGCTGTTACATTATTGGTGTAGCCACTTCTGGTCAAACGACACCTACCATGAGACCAATTGACCTTTAATTACTGCTTTTCAGTCTAAAATCATTGATCCTGCAGCCATAGGTTTTCATAAGTAGATATATAATACATAACGATTCACAAAAGTACTGACAGAACGTAATACTTGTAGGTACGCAAATAAGGTGAGAAAAGAAAACTAGTCGAATTTTGTCTAAAATTGTATTATATAAGAATTTTTCAAATTTCTCAGGTATCTCTTTTACATACAAATTTTTATCGTGCTAAAATGACAGTACAATTTCTTACTTAGAAAGCAAAAAGTACAATATAATGAAAAACAATCACTCATAGCTTTAGAATTCACGTTATGGTCGAATTCGAACTGATACAATAATCATCAGTTTCATTAGCCTATCTAGAATCACAGTAGAATGTAATTATAAGTAATATAACATAGAGCGCATTCTCTCAGATTTTCTACTATTATGATACTATTTAATCTAGCTAGAAGCTATCGGCGTGTTAAATAATTTTTCATGCAAAAAGGCAATGCTGTTGTAAAATGCATTTGCTTTTTCTTCGTTCATTCTTTCAAAAAAAATTTTCACATAACAAAAACTCATGTTTTATGTAGCCTTATATCTAAACCATTAGTTAAATAATTCATACACTAAAACGCACAAGTTTGTTTTCTATTTAGTAAAACAATATATATATATATAATATATATATATAATATTCAGATAAAAGGCGTGATTAGTTGAGCTTAAGATATGCGAAGGAAAGAGCAACGTAGCTTCTCAAGAAAATTTGTGGCCACATATGAATAATGATCTGGAGATAAGATAGGCAGTCTTATAAAAAATACATAAATTGGTGTGCAACATGAACTTTTCGCATGCGTGCAATGTTCAAGTATTTTGTTATATTTGATTAAGTTGTGCCTCAAAAACAATATAAAAATGAAACGTAATTTCATATAAATATTATGATGTAGAAATATTTTTATGAAATCTACGAGATATTTAAGGGAAATTTAACTAATGATTTGTAGGTCTCATTTCAGCCTTTTTGCATTTGGTGACAACAAAAATTATTATTTATAATCATCATTCCAAATCTTTATTTGCTTTAGCATTGTGGATTGTCACCAAATGCAAAAAGGCTGAAATGAGACCTACAAATCATTAGTCAAATATAAGATTCTCATACATTTTCCAGAAATTGTCTTGCAAACGCTGTTTTCAATCGAAACTTTAAAGAAAGAAGTCTATAGATTCATTACATACATTATCAACAACCATATATTTGTTACTTCTAAATTATAGCAACAACTTCTATTAAATAGCAATGTTTTAATTGACAATTATATCTATAATCTAAAATGATATTTTACACTTCTAGCTCTCATTACGTATTAAGAGAGTCAACATACTTAATAATTTATTTTACTTTTTCAATTTACGTTTAATTTTACGTTTCCATTCTTGCCTCTTCACTTTTATCAAATTTTAAACTTACGTGAAATTCTGATTTATAAATATCCTTTTTCGCCTTCGGGCTATTTATTCAAATAGAAAAGTTATGAGCGCTACGATTCTGAAATGGGTTTGTCCTTATCAGATTCATTCTCATCTAATAATTTCTCATCTACTAATTCTTTAGTTTCTGATTCAGGTGTGTCAGATATTTCGCCTGGTTTTTCAACTACTTCAATATCTGAATCTAAAAAATAAAAGATTTGCATAAATACTTATTTTGATTTAGATTTAGGCGCATTTATTTTAGAATCCATATACAATATACATTATTCATACCAGTTAAAATTTTTTAAAAATCATACCTGTATCTGATTGCGTGCCTGTGCATGTTTCCAGCTCAGCAAGTTTTATTGTCTCTTCGTTTGTATGAGATACACTGACTTCGGTATTCGAAGTTACAGAAGAATTGTCGAAGTCTAATTTCGGTGCAAAAGGTTTTTGTTTCCTTGCAGGATTCCAGAAACCGCAGTAACAACACCTGAATGCTACAAAAAAATACACATACATTAGGTAACATCATCCGTTAAAATATATCTTGGGGAAAAATCCTCTTTAAAAAGGTATATTATTCACCGAAATATTCAAACTCTTCTTTCAGAGCCATTCCATTGTGCGACTCACATTGTCGACAAACTAAAGCATAGCGATTTGAAGGGCCATCACCTACTAAATAATCAACCAATCGATCGATCACTGATCTTTGTTGCGGTAATACAGGTCGTGGTAATGGTGATCCTGAAGTTATAAATTTGATTGTTAATTATCTCTACACAATTAATCAATTTATATGCGACATAGAACTGTGTAAGTACAATATTTTTTCTGAATCATTATACATGTATCAATTACAGTGTGAACGCCTTTTATTTTTTAAGGACCTGGCACAGATGGAGGCGGCCACTTGAATTACCATGTGAATCCATATACCGTATTTATTCCATCTTGTCCTGTGCACCGTTACAAACCGACGTGCACAGGCTTTTTCCCCTTTAGATGGAATCATTGTATATAATAAATACGGTATACACCACAATCTGTGCCAGGTCCTTAAAAAATAAAAGGCAGGTTCACACTGTAATTGATTTATATCTTTAGAGGACCGAGGTGAAAATTTAGTTGATTATACATCTACTTACGGAAACCTATGGCTGCGGGATTAATTATTCTAGGCTGGAAAGAAGTCCTTGAAGGTTGATTAATCGATCTAATGGTAGGTGTTGTTTGACCAGAAGTAGGTACACCACTCTGTGTATTTTGTGTCGGTATGATTCTTCTCCTTAATTCAGTAGGGAGGGGAGATATTACAGCCTGTGGCGTAGGACGTCGAGGTGTTTCAGATGGTATTACCATCCTTTGGGGAAGCTAAAAGCAGAACCACTAATTTTGAATATTTCATTTTATATAGCGTATCTAGCGTCTCAACTTGTATCATCTTTAAAAATATATATGTATATTTTTTAATACAGCTTATGTTTTGTTTTTCAAAATTCAAATTAAATGTACATTTTACTTTTATTATACTTTTGTACATGCTCATTATGCAGTAATACGAATTCTGAGGTACAAACCTTTGGAGTTAACTGTAAAGAAAGAAATAAAATCTAATAAGTACAAAATCAGACTTTACTTATGTAAAACAAAAACGGTGCAAAATAAGGTAATATAAATTATATATTTTTAAGCGCTTTGTTCATGTTACATTATTACGCGTTCAATTGAAGATTTAACTAACAAGGTTTCAATTCAAATTAGAACAGCTTGGTCTACTCACAGGCGACATGTTTAATTCATCCGGCGCAAATTTTAGCAATATCTCCTTAGCTTTCTTGTACGTCTCTGTTTCGGTAACTTGGTTTAATATCTTCTTTTTCTCCGCTACGATCGTCGACAATTTTTCTCGATTATGAGTAATCTTACGATTGTAATACCACGAAACCATTTTCTTTGTTAAAAGTATTCTAAAAGGGAAATGTATATGGATTACTTTTCACCCAAGAGTTCACACGTTGTACAATTATAGTCGGCGAGTGTCTCATACTTACAAAATTGGGAAAAACAGTAATGGCGTTATATAAAAGAGCTGATCGTACAACGAGGCCGGGAAGAAGCAAAAGTAAAAGATAAATGCTATCATAATGTAAAGGATGACTCCATAAATAATGATGGTGCCCACTATCTTCTTGTGCCTCTGCTCCGTAGTCTGCCCATACTGTTGGATGTCTTTGATTTGCTGGTGAAACAGGACAAGTTATAGAAGAAACTTTTATTTCACAATGTCTATCAATGCGGTAAGAAATAAAGTAATATTTACTGCATCGAGATTCTCCAAAACTTCAATGGTTGTCTTCTTTCTCTGGAAATCAGAAATTTTACATCAGCCGTGCGTGTATTTTATCAAATCGCAATGTGGAGATGCTTAAGGAATCAGGAGAATGGCAGACGGTGGATTCTTTAAAAATAACGCAGGCTAAATTTCTCCGTGATATTCGACAAACTACCAAACTGAAGAACATGAATAAGATTGGAAGGATAAAATTTGTAGATTATATCCGTCTCCTTCCCGTGTGGGCTTGACTCTAGACACACAGGTAAATTAAATAACTAACCGACCAAACGCGTAATAAAAGAAAAAATAAACTCGATTTTAGTTTACGAAGCACGTAATGCGTCGCATTTGGCTCGTGTGTTCGGGACATCAATTCCTTGGCTCGTGTATTTAAATTAGACCAAAGTTCGTCATTGAATGTTAATGTTTGGATTTTTCCCGTGCAGAATAAATTTATCGGCCGTTTCTGTTTACTCATGACAATGGTGGGCACCAAGAACCCAAGGACTCTTCTACATACACCGACATACGTACATACATACATATATACATGTATATACATGTATGTATAAGATTACACCTTGAGTTTATCGTACGAAGCGATTTCACGAGCGCCCGCCAATACAACGGGTAAATATATGTACATTTCCATGTGACCTTTCAAAAACGATGCTGAGAGGAGATAATACAATCGTACAGAGTGGCCGTTTTGCATTTCATTAGGCGTTTAGAAAGAAAGGGAAAGAGCCACAGAGTCGTTGCTTCGCGCCAAGGTTGCCGCGCGATTACAGGTCTGGCGTCATCGAAACGAATTCACGGCTATAAATAGGCCGTGGAGTGACATTCGGGAATATCGGCCGGGCGATCCGCAGATAAGCGCGGGACGCGCCTGGTGTTAACCTCAACGGAGACGTCGGGGCCGCGGGGCTAACTCACCTGAAATCTGGACAGTATTATCCCCATATTAGCGGCAGCTACGACGAAGACGGAGGCTACGCGAAGAGATCCCTGGCGTCGACGTCGATCGTGGTCGCGTGTCGCACCAAGGCCGACATAAAAGCGCCACCCGGTCGCTTTAAAATAGTCCTCGTCCTACCCCTCGGGGGCCGGTTTGCGCCACGCCGCTCGAGATACGTCGTCCAAATTTAAATCCCCGCCAAGCCTCGCGTCCTGAACCTGATATTATTTTTAGTCCGGAATCGTCTACGGGATCGTCCGGCGTGTCGTCGGCCGTCGAACGATCGCCAGCATGTTCTTCGGCGCCGCAGCGGGAAAGGAAGTGGGAAGAAATGCGAGATCCGCTCCAGCCGTCGGCCCGCTCCCGTATCAACAGTACGTGTTCGCGCTCCGAACGTCCGAACTGCCGGACGCCAAGCCACAACATACGGCGTTCGCGACTTCGCGTATGTGTATTATCCGCGCACTCGTATTACGCGAATATTGCGCGATGCCGCGCAGCCGGGACGGCGGAGCTGGGCGTTCGTAAACCCACAACGGGGCAGCCGCTTCAACGGTTTCAACGGTTCGCGATTGGTCAATTCTAAGGCTGGATTCACATGGAGCGTAACTTGCGTAGCGTAACCTGCGTATCACCAATCACAGGGTCTTTCTGATAGAACCGTTTCAATAATTCCGTTGAAATAGTTGTGTGATTGGTGATACGCAGGTTACGCTTAGGCAAGTTACGCTCCATGTGAATCCAGCTTAAGGCTGGTATTACATTTGTTGTACGACAAAGTTTTTAAGCGTATTGATTGGCTGAAGGATAGTAAAATTCTCGAGTATCTAGAAACTTCCTATTCAGCGGCCAATCGACACGCTTGAAAAATTTGTCGTACGACACATGTAATAGTACCCTGAGGCTGAGTCTACATTGGATGTCGTAAGTCGTGTCGGAAGAAATTGACCAATCACAGTTCATTATTCTCCTTACGGTCGAAGAATAATGAACTATGATTGGTCAATTTCTTCCGACACGACTTACTACATCCTATGTAGCCCAGCCTGAGCGATGAGTGATGAGCGATATCCAATGGGCGTACAGTCTTTATAGGAAAACTATACGCTTTCCCATATAACCTGTACGCCCATTGGATAATCACTCGTCGCTCATCGCTCATCGTGTTCAGTCTGAATCCAGCCTAAGGGGAATAAATGCCTGTAATTGGTTAATTTCTTACGGCTTAAAGCCCGTATCAGACTACGGATTGAGATTGGGATTAGATTGAAATTTGACCAATCGAGACTAATCACAGTCGCGTATTCTACTCATACTTGACCGTGATTGGTCAATTTCTTGAGGCTTAAGCCTATCACACAATGCCAGACAATGGGCAATAGGAATGGGAAATATAATAGAATTTTTAACACGTTCGATTTGTCGGAAATTTTCTTCCAACCAATCCAACGCGGCAGAAATTTTATTTCCTGTTCTTGTTGCCTGTTGCCTGGGGCCCGATTCTCGAAATCATTCGAGGAAGAAACGTATACGAACATTCTGCTCTGACAGAAAAGTTGAAAGTCGATTGGTTAAAGCCACGCGAATAGCCAATCAGCTTGCAACTTTTCTGTGAGACCAGAATTTTCGCATACGTTTCTCCTTCGAATAAATTCAAGAATCAAGCCCCTGGCATTGTGTGATAGGCTTTAGGCTTTTTATGATTGGTCAGTTGGTTTGCTGCGACTCTTGAGCCTGTCACACAATGCCAGGCAACAGGCAATAGGAACAGGGAATAGAATTTCTGACGCGTTGGATTGGTTGGAAGAAAATTTCCGACGAATCCAACGCGTCAAAAATTCTACTCCCTATTCCTATTGCCTGTTGCCTGGTATTGTGTGATAGGCTTTACGCACTTTACGCGGTTGTATGTACACAACATCATTGCGTCGTCTGCGCCGAGGTTATGGTTATCCGCACACGTGTTGCATGCACGTAACGTCAGTAATGTCGCTCTCGCTCGTTATTGAACAGTAATGTCACTTTGAAATCCTCACGAACAGCCTTTGCAAACATGAGCTTCTCCGTATACGATTCGTACGTGGCTCTGTGCAACAACGAACGTGTGATAATACACGATGTTGCCAATGGTACCGAAAACGAGATAGTCCTGCCCGATCTGGAGTCCGAGAGGAAGATAGACGTGCACAACAACGTCGACATCGAGGCTTATCACATGATAACGTCCCTGACATTCTCGGACGATGGGAAATATTTTGCGGTGTGCACGAATCGCAAGCAGCTGTGCCTGTACGAGACCAAGGGCCTGGGGCTCCTGTCGAATCGGACGCTCGTCAGGGCCGCGAGCAGAGTGAGATTCTCGCCGGACAACGACATCGTGATAGCGGACAAGGCCGGGGACGCTTATCTGTTCTCAACCAGCCGCCCGACGGAGGCTGGCACCTTGATCCTGGGCCACTTGTCGATGCTGCTCGACGTGCTCGTCACGCAAGACGCGAGGTACGTCCTGACGACTGACAGGGATGAGAAGATAAGGGTCTCCAGGTTTCCCAATTGCTACAATATCGTGTCCTACTGCCTGGGACACGCGGAATTCGTGACGAATATCTCGGAGCTGCCGCACAAGAAGAGCGTCCTGGTGTCGTGCGGTGGCGACGGCGTCTTCAAGTTGTGGGACTATAAGCGCGGATGTGAACTCACGTCCGTCAACTTCGCCGACAAGATACCCAAGTGCGACGTGGAAAAGTTTCACCGGGACCTCCAAGAGTGTCAAAACGACGAGTCTGTAGATACACTGCCCGTCAAGTATCTCAGAGTATCTTGCCTTGGTAAAACGGAATCTTTAATTCTGATGAGTTTTTATAGTAGCAAGCTATTGTTAGTTTATAGGATCAGCGGCGACGATGACGCGCAGTTGAAAGCGAGTTACTTAGAATCCATAACTGCGGAGGCCGAACCTGTGGAGTGTCTCTTGCGCAAGCAAGACCTGTGGATATTGACGGATGTAGGATTTCAAGTGTACAAATTCGAGAGCGATAGATTCGTGGTCCACGATGCCCTGAATCCCACAATCAAGCGTCTCAATGTGTCCTGGCAAATTTTAAAGAATACCATCGTTAAACAGAATTTATTTCCAATTTTATACAAGAGAAGATACGACAACGCACAGGATTATCAAGCAAGGAAAAAAACCCGTCTTGCGGGCAACGCAGAGTAGTTTGTATCGTTCTTACAAATGTTACAAATACGATTGTGTTCAGTATCTCGTAATATACGTTAATAGACAGTTTGTAATAAACGAAATCGGAGGAAAAGAAAGATTATATTTTACATCAATCTTATGCCAATGTTATTAACTGTATGTATCATACAAATTTGCTAATGTGTTAATTTTACACAAATATAGAACATACGAGTAATTGCAGCAAGGCCAGTATTGAATGATCCAATTTGGATCATACGAAAATTAATAGACACCTAAAATTAGTTTCGAAATATATAAAACGATAGTCATTGACGGTACCGCGTCGTCAAATTACACAGGTTTGTAATCTAGTTTAGATTCGAGCTTCTTGTTGTCAGAAACCTTTCTGACGGCCTTCATGAAGTCTTCCTGTATTACGTATTCTCTTTCCAGTCGTATTGCAAACAGGCCCGCCTCTGTGCACACATTTCTCAAGTCGGCGCCGTTGAATCCGTCCGAGAGTTTGACCACTGCCTCGTAATCTGCACACGCATGAGATATTCATGTAATGTCGCGAGGCGAAATATTCGAGATACAAAGTACGGAAACGCGTTTGTTCAACAAGCTTCTTACCGATTTCACCGTGTTTGGCGATTGGCAAGGCGTGTATCTTTAAAATTTCTAGACGAGCCTGTTCGTTAGGCAGCGGTATTTCAATCTTTCGGTCCAGTCTTCCTGGCCGTAATAAAGCCGGATCTAAGGTGTCGGGCCTATTAGTAGCCATTATCATTTTGACTTGGCCCAAAGAATCAAATCCGTCCATCTGATTCAACAGCTCCATCAAGGTCCTCTGGATTTCGCGATCGGCGCTTGTCCCTTCCGAAAATCTGCGGCCGCCTATTTGTTACACACAGGTAAAAACAATTTTTAATTCTCTCAACTTGCGACACTTTTCGCTCACGAATAACGCATACTCACCAATCGCGTCAATTTCGTCCATAAATATAATACAGGGTTGATGATCGCGGGCGTAATTGAACATCTCTCTAATCAGTCTAGCCGATTCTCCGATATACTTGTCGACGATCGCGCTCGAGACGACTTTCAGGAAATTTGCATCCAACTGGCTGGCAACGGCTCTCGCCAGCAATGTCTTTCCGGTACCGGGAGGGCCGTACAACAAGCATCCCTTGGGAGGCGTGATTCCAACTCTCTGGAAAAGCTCCGGATTTAATAATGGCAATTCTATAACTTCGCGCAATTCGCGTATCTGTTCGCTCAGGCCGCCAATTGCAGAGTACGTCACGTCGCCAGGGTCTTCGTGAGACATGTTATAAACCAACGGATCAACCTGAAAGACAACGATAAAAATAAATCTTTTGACGACTTGACGGCTAATTCTATTAAGGATTAATTAACGAGTTCTTTTACCTCACGTGGCAAGTAGCGCATTATGGTAAGAGTTGTCATATCTAGGGCTACTCTGGTTCCAGACTTCAATTTATTTTTATCCAACTGACGCCGACATCCAACGACGTAGCGAGGACCATTCGTTGCTTTTACTATGACTACACAACAAATTATACCCATTACCTTTCGTTTTCGAGAAATCGACTTATACTTTAGCTATAGTTTTTTCTATTCCCATAAAATATGAGCACCATATCATTGTAATAAAACTGACTTTGTTATCTTTAGAAAAGTATGTGTTTCAGAAAATGTTACGCTACAGTGTCTCCGCTCACAAAAAATGTATCCCTTGTGTATCTTGGCAAAGTTGATATGCCAAATCGTTCGGATTGATCATACAGGGATTTTAATTGCATATAAATTGATTACTTACACTTTTCTTCCGTGAGTTGTTTCAGTACTTCTCCAACAATCTGTAAGATGATGACAAAATATAGAATATAGAGACAATCGGGAGTTATTAGCGATTAGAGTTCAACAACACAAATAACGGCAATACCTGTCCAACACTTTGCAATGCCTTTAAATCATTTTCAGACTTGTCATATTGCTTCGTCAAATCCTTGAGATGTTCTCTCACTGGAAAGTGCAAACATATATTTTGCAGTCACATTTTATAAATTAATTATAAGACATAAAATATAGAAACTTCTAAAAGAAGCGTATTAATATACTGATATTGCAAGGAAAGATTTAATGCCTGAAAGGAAAATATCGAGAAAGCCTTGTGAAATGTAAGAGGTTAGAATCGTCTGACGTACACATAATTTTGTAAATGAAACTTCATTACATAAAATTTATAATATTGACGGAATATCTTACTTTCCTTGAGACGTGACTCCACTTCTTTATGCTCTAAAAGCTTTTTTCGATAATCTTGAAGAGCTTTTTCTCTCACAGAATCCATGCTGGCCGCCATTTTTACTTATTTTGCTGTCTAACTGTCGTCAACAGAATTGCTGTAGTCCTGTAGATAGCACGGAGTCATGGAGGAAAGAATAAAGCCTATCACACAATGCCGGGCAACAGGCAACAGGAACAGGAAATAAACTTTCTGCCGCGTTGAATTGATTGCAAGAAAATTTCCGACGAATCGAACGTGTTAAATATTCTATTCCCTATTCCTGTTGCCTGGCATTGTGTTTGGGCCTTCAGAAATTCTATTCTCTATTGCCTGTTGCCTGGCATTGTGTTTAGCTGATGGCAGAGAACAATCCGTAAACGCTTAAAGCCCGTATCAGACTACGGATTGGGATTGGGATTAGATTGAAATTTAACCATTCACAGTAAAGCCCGTATCAGACTACGGATTGGGATTGGGATTAGATTGAAATTTGACCAATCAGAGTAAAAGTTACTGAACTTGAGATTAGTAAACTTTACTGTGATTGGTTAAATTTCAATCTAATCCCAATCCCAATCCGTAGTCTGATACGGGCTTAAAGCCTATCACACAATGCGAGGCAACAGGCAACAGGAATAGGGAATAGAATTTTTGACGCGTTGGATTGGTTGAAGGAAAATTTCCGACGAATCCAACGCGTCAAAAATTCTATTCCCTGTTCCTGTTGCCTGGCATTGTGTGATAGGCTTTAAGTTTACTAATCTCAAGTTCAGTAACTTTTACTCGCCAGCAATATTCGCGCGAAATACAGACGATTGCAAATATGAGTTATTTAAAAATACGTTCATCTCCGGCCAAGGAGATCCGCGTGAGCGAATAGCGCGGGAACATTACGGACGCCTTCCAATTGCCTCGCACTTTTTAACACAAATGGCGCCCGGGCCCTCCCGTGGAAACGGGACTTGAGACACGGGGGGGCCGACTGCCGCGCCGCTTCTGACGTATTTCAGTTCAGCGTGATCACGTCGACGGTCAGTGTGTACATATGCATCACCTGCCGCACGCGTATCTATGATTACTCAAGTTTACATACGCGCACCACTCCCGCTATTGCGTGCTCGCGATTTTTGTGAGATTTTCAACGTACGACGGAATACGCAGCGTCGCCGGGATATCAGCAAGCGCGTCCCGACGAGCGAGTGATGGGGGACGCAGCGATGAACGTCGCAGCGTCCGGTGGCGGCGGCGGCGGCGGCGGCAGCGGTGGCGGCGGCGGCAGCGGTAGCGGCGGCGGCAGCGGTGGCAGCGGTAGCGGCAGCGGAGTCAGCGGAGTCAGCGGCAGCGGCGGCCAACGTATCGTTAAAGAAGGATGGCTCCAGAAACGCGGTACTGCCATAATATTTACGTTTTACGCAATGTTTACCGGACCGCCGAGACGCCTCTCCCCTACGTGGTTACGCGCGAGCGTACGGCCAAGGTGTGCGTACGCCGCGTGCCGCTGTCTTGTCAACGCGGGAAAGACGTTACCGAGAAACCTCGGCAGCCCACCGTGCCTTTTCCTCCCGTTTCCCGCAGGTCGCACGTTCCGACGAGGACGGTCGACGGGGATCCGCGTCCCCGCCTGAGTCTCGTTCGCGCGTCTTCGCAGAAGCGAGATGTCCGCGTACGCTAATCCCATCGCTTCGAGGACAATCGGGACGTGCGACCTTGTAGAGCACCCGGTGGAGGAAACGCGGGAGTCCAAGCGTAGTAGCGCCTTGGAAAGATTAGCTTCCTCGGTTCAGTACTTAGATCCCGCCATTAGTTGTATTTGAAGTCGTTTCCCTTGAAATTGTATCGAATATGTTAATTGAGGTACATACGGTGTTCTTGCGAGGTAAGATTTGAGCGGTGGATTGTTAAAGATTCAAGCGTCGTGGGATACTTGCTTTTAGGGTTGAATTCTCCGCAGTGAAATGTTTACGTGTACAGAATTAAAATGTATAATAATTTCTTTGTAGGAGAGCACATAAAAAATTGGAGATCGAGATATTTTGTCTTGAGAGACGACGGTACGCTGGTCGGGTTCAAGGCGAAACCTGAACCGCAGATGGCTGCGCAAACGTCTACCCAGCCGTTAAATAACTTTACAGTGCGCGGGTGCCAAATAATGTCGGTGGACAGACCTAAACCCTATACATTTGTTATCAGAGGCCTCCAGTGGACGACCGTCATCGAGAGGACGTTTCACGTGGAAACTGAGCAGGAAAGGGAAGACTGGGTAGCAGCAATCAGGTCTGATTCTGAACAGCAATTCTTCGGGCTCTGAAATGTTGAATTTTCGATACTCCATTATGCACCGCGCTCACACACTTCCCTGTGCTTTCTTGCAGATATGTAGCCGATAGATTAGCTAATGAGGAAAATCAGCAGCAAGAACAGCCACAGATGCAACAATCTTCTTCCTCAGAAGACGTTGATATGGAATCGTCAGTGGGTGCTAGGTCTGATTCTTGTAGTTCCTTAGGTGTTGTGTCTACTGATATAGATGGAGGTAGTATCGATGAATTATCAGCGAAATTCAGCGTCCAAGGAACTTCAAGTAGTAAAAGCACTGGAAAGAAGAAAGTCGTAAGTTATTCCATCTTGTATTTTGGATTATTTGGATTATCTTATCTTTCTTGAAAAGCATTACTTGGGTATGAATCATACCATTGTGCATGCGTAACTATGATATCATTCATTTTCTGAATATACGCTAGATGCAGTACATAAATACAAAGAGAAGATTAACATTCTTAAATTAATTCACCGATTTATTCAAGAATAATTTCACTCGCAATTTCTTTCCGTGTGTTTGTTTCAGACACTTGAAAATTTCGAGTTTTTAAAAGTTCTGGGGAAAGGAACGTTTGGAAAGGTAATTCTTTGTAGAGAAAAAGCGACGGGACATTTATATGCTATCAAAATCTTAAGAAAGGAGGTCATTATCCGTAAAGACGAAGTGGCACACACACTTACTGAAAACAGAGTATTACGCACTACTAATCATCCGTTTTTAATCGTACGTAAAATACCGCTTAACATATATACATTATTATCAAATATTCATTGCTATTTCATAATTTGTACGATTAGAGGTGGCCGTTTTTAATGAACGACGATACGATAAACATTTTTGCAAATTTTCAGTCTTTGAAGTACAGTTTTCAAACGGCGGACAGGCTGTGTTTTGTTATGGAATATGTAAATGGCGGCGAATTATTTTTCCATTTGAGTCGATCACGTGTATTTGGCGAAGATCGTACTCGATTTTATGGCGCAGAGATTATATCGGCCTTAGGTTACTTGCACTCGCAAGGCATTATATATCGTGATCTCAAATTGGAAAATCTCCTGTTGGACAAAGACGGACATATTAAGATTGCTGACTTCGGTTTGTGCAAAGAAGACATTACTTATGGTTCGTATCATTCGTCGAAACCGAGAAATAGATCAAAACTGGTGAAATGTTGAATGAATTTTTTAATGAGATGAATTATGTAACGTAGGGAGAACAACAAAAACATTTTGCGGAACACCAGAATATTTGGCACCGGAAGTACTTGAAGATAACGATTATGGACGAGCTGTAGACTGGTGGGGTGTGGGTGTAGTCATGTATGAAATGATGTGTGGTCGATTACCTTTTTATAACAAAGATCATGAAAAGCTGTTTACGCTTATTTTATTGGAAGAAGTAAAGTTTCCTAGGATGATTAGCAATGAAGCGAGAGCTATGCTTGGTGGTAGGTATTACAAGCTTCAATGATTACACATGTTTTTAAATAAGAAATAAAATTATGTTTGTGCGTTATCTTTACAGGTTTATTAATTAAGGATCCAAGCAAAAGATTAGGTGGTGGACCTAATGATGCGAAGGACATCATGAATCATGCATTTTTCTCATGTATTAATTGGACAGATCTTGTCCAGAAGAAGATTCCTCCACCTTTTAAGCCGCAAGTGACTTCAGATATTGACACTCGATATTTTGATAGTGAATTTACCGGCGAAAGTGTTGAACTTACACCCCCGGATCAGGGCTGTTTGGGTAGTGGAGGGGGTTTAAATTCTATAGCAGAAGAACAAGAACATTTTCCTCAATTTTCATACCAGGAAAGTCATTCAGCAGCAACTTCTTCCATTGTTTCGATTAATCACTGACAGTGTCAAGTGTCAGCTTAATTAATGTAACGATATGTGGTTCAATGCATGGAAAAGAGTAAAATGATTATGATATGCATCTGATGATTATCTGCAAAGCTTGAAATTTTTCCAAAAAGCAGATCAATCAAATCTTATCTTTCTTTACGATGCTTTTTCTATGCATCTTAAGAGATTGTCACACATATCTCCATGGCAAAAGAAATTAATAGATTTATGCGTATAAGTGTGCGCGCGCATATTACACCTATACACATTCATTAAAATTGTATATGGTAAAATGTATACTATAAGATTAGATTGAGATAGTATGATTAATATTTGCATATAGACTCGAAGGAATATGACAGGGATTAAATTACGTTTTTAATTGAATGGAGTTAACTAAAATTCCTTGAGACATATTGTGAATATTGAATAATTTTCTTGTCATCAAGGAACGTGCGGTAATTATAAGTATATTTCATTTAACAAAAGCTGCACTTGACACTTTCCAACTTCATTATCACTGTGTATTACTTTATTTATGGAAGGGCAGTTCCTGATCTTTTTTTTAATTCAATAGATAACTGTTGCGGCAGATGCCAAAATAGAAAATTGCAACTGGCAAAAAGCTAACGAAAAAAAAAAATGGTTTGTCCATTGTGAAAGTAGAATGTGTAGTAAAATATCAGCTTTAATTGAATTATTGTATAAATTGGAGGTCACTTTTTTAGCCTTATAAAAAAATTGTCATTATTGTGACTGATAATAATTAGAGATGTGCGAGTATTCGGAAATTCTGGGCTGTATAGAATTCGGACCACTTGTTCGAAATGAATGTTTGAACCTTTGACTATTTTTGGAATTGCTTGGAAAAGGAAACTGTTGAAAAGAAATTTGTGGCTTAAATATTTTCTACCTACATTACTTTCCAACTATCAAAATATATTAACTTAATTATAGATGCATGCGTATAGAAAATTAGAAATTAAGAGGTTTATTCTGTAAAAATGTTTCTGTGCCACTATATCTCTATAAGCTTGCTACACTGTAGTGCAAGCGAGAAAGAATGAAGAGCTAAAGAGCTAGTAGAGTGAAAATCTTACAGAACAAACTTCTTAATTTTTTATTACATTGCAATTAGATATCTTATCGTTGAAGCTTAAATAGCGAATTCGGTTGCTCGCACTAATACGCACTGGGTGCACACTAAGGTTTGTTTTTGCCCAAAAAATGATCCGTACGGATGCAGTACAAATCATTTTACTGGCTGAGAAATATCTCAAAAGATATTTAGGACGATCCTATAAGACTTGACTGTAAACAAGCCTTAGCATGCACTCAGTGCTCATTAGTGTAAGCAACCGAGTTCGCTATAAGCAACAAACACTTGATTCCATAAATATATCCAATACAACTTAAATATCTAAAAGATACTATATGTAATATTTTACTGCATTATAGCTTATTTACTTTCACTGAATAAGACCTTTGGAGAAACCTTTGAATCTTGAAAAATGTGAAAATTTTTGTATTTTTGATTGGATTACACAATTAATATGCTAGATATTATATATTTGAAAGTAGCGATGTATGCATGAATATATGTATATATAATATATCATATACATATAAAAATTATACGTCGCATTTCTCAATGCCAATATGCACTTTTTAAAAATAATCTCAAAGGATTGTTTTTAAATAAACCTTGTGTAAAAATACATTTTTATGAAATATATAAATTATATATTATATGCGTTAATTATATATTATCATAAAAATGAAATCGTTGCTAGAGTTCAACAGCATAAAAAGATTTATGCATAATTGTGATCAAAGTGCCTAGTAAACGATTATTCACTAGTACGAATGTAGTAGCATTCGGATGCAAATATAAAAATGCAGAATAATCATCGATATAGAGTAATCGGTCATTATTCTATTTTTACTCGTTTGGACTAAACACTTGCGCTATATTTAATTTAGATTATTTAGATAAACTCGTTTTTCTCACTAATTTAAAGTTCTTAAATAAATATTCAGAAAACGTGAAAACTTACAGATAATTCAATAAATCATAGGTTGAAAATGTTAGCCACAATTGGAGTATTTCGAATATAACAGCTCGAATGAGTTTCATCCGAAATTCGTATAATACGTGATATGTAAAGCTTCGAAAACTCACACATGTCTAATTTTAATAAATTTTAAATCGGAAATGTGTTTTCCTAAAAAAAAACCAGTCAAGGCTATTCGTTATATATCTTTATGTATCATTAAATAGTGATTAATTATGAGAGTTAGATGGAAATATATGAAATCTTATACACTAATACTATACATCTATATATATATACATATTATATATACACATATACATATATATTTATATGTATCTGTGTATATATTATTAAAACTATTATATATACTTATAATAATTATATATATGCATATATTTATATTTTAACAATTAAAGGATTATATTATACGTTTTTTGCATTTACTAATTTTTTACTCGCTCATACGTAAATGTCATTTTATTGTTCATGTATACATTTCGACCGTAGTATGTTCAACTACGTAAGATGTGTACCAAATTCGAATTACAATTACATAATTGTACGTATAATACACAGCCGAAGTAAAAGAAATTTCCTATTTATAACAGCATAGTTCGATAAATGTCTCTAAGCTATCATTTAGTTTGTTCTTCCGGTTTGTAATAGGACGCTAATTAAAATTAGATTTTGTCGTTAATGTACAGGAAAATCTATAGGTGAAACGTACTGCGGCAAAGGTTTCTCTTTCACGAGCCAAACTCTGTCTATAACAGCACCGTCTTTATCGTCGGATACCTATTAAACGAAAGTATGTGGTTATTCCACGATTTAATTATAAAAGAAAATCACATTTCCAGCGTTTCTTTTTAATTCTATTTTTCTGCCTATTCCATACCTGTTCTAGGTACAAATGAGTTTTGTTGAACACTTTCATTCTTGTGTATCCATAGTCTGAGCTATGAAACGCGGACCACGGCGGTAGGTTCGGGACGAACTCCTCTCGACCCTCTTTGCAACCAGCTGATCCAGTAATTATGTGTACGGGTGCTTTGTAATTTGTGTATGGTTCCTCGTAACTGCCATTGTACACCTACGAGGGTAATTTCCATCATTAGCAAATGAATATTTTTCACAAAAGTAAACTCTATAAACGACATTTACTTGAAAATTATACATGGGCCACATCCTCTCGTAGCTATGTTCGTGCGCCCAAATTTCCATATCTACTTTATATTTAAAGAATAGATCTTCCAGTCCGAACCAATTTAAAAATGGTAGTCCAACTCGGACTAAACTCTGATGATTGGTGCAGTCGTCAGCATTTTTATTGCTGCAATACATTGGCCGGTGTCCAAACGTTACTATCCACGGACGTCGAGCCCTGTAATGATGAATCCTCTACAAGTCATCATTATGTTGTATTATAGTTTAATTGACAGTACCTGGCTTCAGGTTTATTAGCTTCTCGCAGATCTTTTTCCAGCCATTCATACTGCTTAACCATTTGTTTTATACCATAATTCATAAAGTAATAAGCCTCAGTTTCTATAGCTACAAAATGTACAGGGCCTATGTTAAAGCTATACCACAGGCCTTCCGAGTCACCCGGCATAGTAAATCGGGCTCTGGAAGATTATTAAAGGAAACGAGCTTAGATCGTGTCGCGCCAAGTATCGGCAGCAAGTCGCGCATGATCGCTACTTAAATATACCTGTAGTTGCTGAAATTGTATTTCTCCTCGTGATTCCCGGGCACAGTCATGTACGGTATGTAAGCAGCAACTGATTCAATTTGCCGCATAAACTCGTCTCCTACGCGCGCGTCATCCGTGTTCATGTCGTAAGCGAAGTCGCCGACGTGAATGGCAGTGTCGTACAGCCCGGTCTCGGTCTCTTCTTGCAGCCGCGATAAACTCTGCGCGTTCTCGTTGCCCATGTCGCCAAAAATTACTATCTGCGGTGACCAGTCTGCAGAGTCCTCGGGCGCGGTTCTCGTGTAAAACACATTTGACCACCCGTAACGGCTGCCGCAATGATATACTGACGGCAAATAACAAAACGTTCGTTGGCAGTGCGATAACTCAAGGGTCGAGTGGCGAACGGTAAAAGTGCGCGAGATGTATCTTACTGTATTTGCTGTAGGGCGTTAAATTCTTTAGCCACACTCTGTGGATATACTGCTTTTGCTTCGCCTTTCCGCCATCGACAAAGAGGGTAGAGTTTCCTTCAGCTCGTAGAGCAAACCCACCTATGCCATACTCCACTATCGACTCTTTCGTATCCTCTCGTGTGCTCCAAGTGACAACGATGTCATGAATGTTATCTGGAAATTATATTCAGAACACACGAACACATATATATTGTACTAAATTAATCTCTTTTAATCGTAAACAAGACTGGTCTGTAGACATTAGTCTCAGAATACAATACCCTAGTGCTGTATTGTTTTTACTGCTTAAAAGGTGATTTAAAATACTACATTATTTGTGTATCCTCCTCACAAAACTCACCACCGTAGGAAAGATGCACGGCTTCCGGCTGGTAATGTATCACACTGGCAAACGCAGTGGAGAAGAACAGCAGGCTCACGAGAGTGACTTGCGGAAACATCTTGTTTGCATAGAGAGAAACAGAGTCAGGTGATAAGCGTCGATTGATCATCTAATTTGACGGCGCAGGAACAGAACAAAGGGTGGTATTAATTACAATCAAACAGTTGCATAGGTCACTGAATGCATCATACCTGCTGATCCGACGCGTCCCGTCCGGCGTGTGTCGCAGGGAGGAAACGACAGTCAGTCGGGAGGAAATCAACCGAGATTTATCTATCATAAACGCTGCGTCGCTCCCAGCCCTCCTGCGTTATCTACGATATGCATGGCACTTGTCGAGCATAGTATCGTCCCGACGTGATGACGCTCGAGGTAATTCACTCCCACTTAGCTCGCTTCCAGCGACTGTCTGTCGTTCCTGTGGCACGCGAGAAGCCGACCAATCACGAACGCTCGCGCCAAACGCGCGCGTTTGATTGGCCGTAGACTGACGCGCGGTACTTTCGCGCCCAACTTCGTGTGTCTCGGCGTATTTAATTTCAATTTACCTCTATTTATTGTAATCACGCTAAACTCTTTTGTAAATATCATATTTTTGCTAACGAGTAGGCATATAATAAAAAATCGAAGAGGAAAGAGGGAAAATGCAACGCCAGATTTAATTGCACAGGACAATTCTGGAAAGATTACATGCTTCTTATATTAACAATGGGATAATACTGACGTATATTTATGGGTTTTAGTTTTTTTTCAGTATTGTTAATAAAGGAGTGCGCACTGAGTGCAAATATTAAGCTGGATACTCAAGTCGCGTCGTTGACTCGACTCGCGTAGTACGCGCAGTGGCGCGAGGGTCGCCGGGTACCGGCGCCATGTTGGTCTGTTCGAGAGGCATCGCCGCGGACGCGCAGCGGACCGGTCTTCCGCGCCGACGGTCGTCGCGACGCTTCCCGCGACGCTTCTCACGACGGCGGTGAGTAACGCGATCAGGTTGGAGCAGCCGCGGCGTAGATTATTCGATATTCACGCGTCGGCGATCCACCGAGACGCGTAAATCTCGCGAGGAACCCCGGCCGAGATCTTCGGCGCAGCCCGGATCCTCGCAGCGCCGCGGGTACCCGAGCTTCAGTTTTCGCTCGCGTCCCCTCGCGCGCGTAGAAATATCCGGGTTTTCCACGCGCGGCGAGAGAAACGCGAGACCGCCCCGTCGCACGCCTCGGTTGCGAGACGCGTCAAGCCGCGCGTATCTCCCGACACGAGTCCTCCTCGCCGGAACGTTCCCGCCATTTGGCGCGACGCCGCCGTATTCCCGCGCGCGATTGCATCTCTTTTTCGCGTTCTCGTTGCAACGGAGCTCGCGTCGGTTGACGCGAGGGAGTGCAGCGTCGCGCGGTACTTGAATATAATTAGTTCCTTTTTCGCAGGTGTCGCGCTGTGCCGATTGCCGGTGCGACATGGAGGAATCTGAGAGGATTCGTGAGAGAGAGCGAGAGAGGACATGGCGGCCTGGAAGGCACTCGTGAGAGAGAGAGAGAGAGAGGACGTGGCGGCCTGGAAGGCATCGGGCGACGACGGAGTACAACCCTCTGGTGAGTATATTTACGCATTGCGTTGACTTAATTCCGCGGATTGTTCTTATTCGCCTTTCCGTCCACCGTTCCGCCTTTCGACGCGAACGAATTCGCACGAGCGTTCGTCAAAGTCCGTCGATAAAATCGAATACATTTAGCCCAGACTCGCACCTAGGGACAAAGTGTGTCGGTAATTCAAGCACGGAAATGTTGGTCTTGCCCGGACCCCGAGCCTTTAGACAGACGTGTTATTTGGGAGGCTCCATTGAAGACATTGATCTTTGGCGACGTCCCGTTAAAGCTATCGATCCCTCGCATCTGTCGGTAACGAAAATTATAGTGTATTTATTTAATAGAATAAAGGATTAAAATATCATACAATTATCTTCTCACACGCGAATTATAATCGAGGAGAAGATTCAGTCTGCTAGGATTTGATTCTTCTTCGTAGAAACGCTCATCTGCTCTGGGAAAAGAAGACAGCAAGCCACTTTGGGGCTCGCAATTAGTAATCGAATTATTTGGATGGTTCGTAACTCATTTACGAATTTTACCCCGCGTAACTAAAAATCGCAATTAGCTATTCTTATCTATATCCAAGATTTTTAAGTAACACTAATCAACTCTCTCAATTAATTCTGTCGACATTCAGTAACGCAAGGATAATTTTCACTTAAGAGGCACTAACCGAAATGTTAAGTTGCTTAACTGCAAGTAAAAACCGGTCAAAATTTTTCCCAGAGTAGAGCTACGAACAATCCAAATAATTCGATTACTAGCTGTGGGCCCCAAAATGGGTTGCGAACTGTCTTTTTTTCCCCCAGAGTGCATTCGTCGCAGAAATACGTACAAAGTGTACGCAAAGTGTGAAAACAATCACGTCGCAAACCTGCTCTCGTCGGATTTATATGTATATTAAAAATTTAATCGCGCGCGCGTACACTGGCGTAGAATCGCCGCCTAATTGGGAATTAAATTAGCACAAGCGCGCGCGATTCGTTCAATTTTCAACATAGTTCTCGCCTCAGTAGTAAGATTTGTTTAACTAGAACGCGGACTTGAGCTCGCCTCACGATTGCCTGCGGGTTACTATTAATCCGTACTTGAAGTTAAACGTTGCTCTCGATCGCAGACAATAGGGCGACGTTGATTCCGTGCGGCGATACCACGATAATGCAATTACATAAGATGGAAGCTGGGGAGAGAGGCAGAGAGAGAGAGAGAGAGAGAGAGAGAGAGAGAGAGAGAGAGAGAGAGAGAGAGAGAGAGAGAGAGAGAGAGAGAGAGAGAGAGAGACCAGTAAGGCAGTTACCGAACTAACATCCTCTATATTGATCTTATGGTCTTGCAGTTCTCTCCGTCTCGCCTTTGGTTTGCACGCGTTTCCCGTGCACGTGTAAACCGCAGGAACGTAGGAAAATCTCACGGTTCCCTAGAAACAAACGGACGTTTCTTCTAAAAATTCTTGAACTTTATATTTATTTTATATTAATATTCATGAATTTATACTAATATAGAAATAATTTCGGACTATCCAATAGTTTTGTTCTTAATAAATGAAAGCTCGAAATTTCGAAGGAGGATCGAGGCCAGGATTGACGCCAGAAAGTTATTAAGATATTATAAGATGCTTCTAAGAAGTTATTAAACATTCAAAGACATGTCAAAGGCGCCTTATGCATATTAAAATCTGCAGAAAAAGTTACGATCTTGCGATTATCTTTGAGGATGCACGGATATCCGTTTCGCTGACAATGAGGGCGGCATGCTCTTAATGCATATGCATGAACTTGGAGGATAGTTTCGATTTTAATCAACAGATTATGTCGATTCCGAAAAATAACGTAGCGCCGTAAACACTTGATCGAAGCCAGCCTATTCTCATTGCGCCTATCATTCACGCGGCGACAGCATATCGTATTGTTCCTTCTTGATTCGCGACAATTACGGGACAAAATCGCGATCGTCCTCTGTGAATAATCAGCGATCTAGACCCCCGCGTTATCGCTGAATCCTCGCGATTCGCTATCGATGCTCGGTTAACCGGCAAGACAGATATGTCTCGCGCGATTTACACATGAAATCTGTACGTCCAAAACTCTCGTCGCTTCGAGTACAATTTGTTGGCTGCTTCTAAATTAAAGGCGCGAAATAATACACGAAATATTGAAGCGATATTCGAAGGTTCTGGCTTTCTCTTCCTCACCTTCGACCCCGTGAACACCTAATTTACAAATCCGTTTCCTTCAGTTATACACTGAAGTTCAGAGTTTATTCATACTTCTGATCATTTCAACTGCCAAAAAGTTAAATTGCTCGGTAAAGAATGCTGCTCCGTAGTTGCAAAGATTTAGTTTCCTTTTCACTCTCACAGCCAAGATCGATCCTTGCGAAAGCTTTAACACGGAGTTTCACACATAACAGATTACGATGCGTAAAGACTGTTTCACGACTCCGCGAGCACCGATTTAGAAGGATACTGTGAACGTTTATAAACTCAATATGAGACTGATTTTACGTTCCTTCTCGCGATAGAGGTAGAATTTATTTACTTGCGGTGATACGAAGAATGGAGTACCGTAAAAGTGCGTCTCGTTAAGAGATTCTGATTAAGGGATCGCCAAAGATAGACGGATATCTTTCTCACGACTCGCAAAAAGATCACAAGACTTTGACAAGCGAATCTAAAATCTCACCGAAATGAAAGCTTCTGGAAAAATATGTTTCCACGCCGGTTTCTGACGGTTAGAAGTTAGAGAAGCGCAAACGTAATATAAGTTTTCTATTCTACTCTCGCGACGTAGCGAGAGGTGGCCCTCCGAGCATAGAGTAACCCCCTTGTGTAAATATCTCGGAGATCCAATATTGTGTTCGGAGAAGATGATCTTATATTCGTGAATTTAATATAGGATATTTGAAATTCTAGTTGTATACCGTAATAAAGACTCGGTCAGAGATTCTGCGCTTACCTCGCGTCAGCTATTTATCGGGTAATAAATGAGAAAAAAATCGCGCTTATGAAAAGAGACGCATAAGTAACGGGAATTTAATACATCGACATCTGAAAATACTTGACGCGGCGAGGGGCAGGTCATTGCGAGTATCGCATCGTTTTTCTTTCATTAATAGTATTTGACTTTCGAATCCGTGACGGAACTCGTAATATCGGGAGCTACGGGATAATCGATGCTAAGTCAATTTTCTTCTTGCGTTGCGAGTGCCGTGTATTTGTCGAGCTGTCTCGTATATTTTGACGTGTATCAAGAACGAATGCATCGAATTTTCCAGCTTTAATATACTCGCAAAATTTTTTCGAGTGGAATCTCACTCTTTTGGAGTGAATTAATTGATTATATTAGAGTAAATATCAGGGTTAGGAAAGTCACATTATAAAAGTATTTAGTTACAGTTACAGTTGTTTCGCTAAAAATGTAACTAGTTACAGTTACAAGTTACCATTTCTGAAAAGTAACGCGCTACAGTTACAGTTACTCAACAAGTGACGAATCGTTACTTTGCAGTTACCTCTTTACCACGATACCGATTAGTTTTCATGAAGCGCGATGTGCTTCACTTCTCTTTTAGATTCATAGTAAATAAAGATTTGCAATTTAGAAATACTAGAAGTGACAAAACGCGCGCTTCGCGCGTGCAGTTTGTAATTGAGCATTGTATATTTTTAAGAATTTGTATACATGCAAAGAGAAGTAATGGTATGCGCAACGTCAATTTAAAATAAAAGTAATTCATCACTCACTGATACGATTCGCAACAGCAGAGTTGTACATCGCTAACTCTATATGTTAAGCTGTAACAAAAAAAAAATATAAATATGATTATTATAGACTGATTATGTAAAATCGAAATTATTGTATTAAATATACTTTATATTTTATATTTTTTAAAATAGGCATTTTAAAATAGGCATATTAAAATAATTATATAGAATACTGAAAAAGTCTTCCTTTTAAATATAAACTCACAAAATTTTATACGAATGGTTTTGTCTCTAACACTTATTCGAATCCTCGTTCGAATCATTTAAATAAATAAAATAAAAATACACAACAGATGCTTTCAAAATGTAACACACTTACCTCACAATTTCTTCGCCGTTGCCCGATGCCTTCTAGGCCTCCTCCTCCTCTCCGATTTTCTTGCTGCACTCACACAACACTCGCGAAAATCATCGATCGCGCGAAATTTCGGACACTCCCGTGCGCGATGTGAAATACTGCGAAACGCACAAAATATTATTAGCAAATATCGTGTAACTTTCTGCCATACAAATTACGTGCAATAAGCGACTTTCTTTACTTCCTGCCCGTTCGAGTTGCGAAGAACGACCGAGCGAATTACAGCGCAAACACCGAAGTCACACAAATTTCTCTTTTCCCGAAAATGGAACTACACGAAATCGATAGATAATTAAAAGCGGTATTGACTTATTGGTATTGATTAAATTAACGATTAATTCTGTTTAATCGAGAAAATGTTTCAAAACAAAAATCGTTATTACTTAAATTCTAATTACTAAGATTAGAGATTTTACCTCAATAATTGGTGTATACAAATGTACATTTCTAATGAATGTCGTTAATATCGAATAGTTGAGGCCTTTTTTATGCAATGCCGATTGGTTTTTTCGAAGCGCGATGTGCTTCACTTCTCTTTTAGATTTGTAGTAAATAAAGATTTGCAATTTAAAAATATACATTTGTATACACCAATTATTGAGGTAAAATCTCTAATCTTAGTAATTAGAATTTCAGTAACAACGATTTTTGTTTCGAAATATTTTCTCAATTGAACAGAACTAACCCTTAATTTAACCAATATCAATAAGTCCGCAGAATGATACGCAAAACGTAGCAACAGTCACGGAACAAAGTAATGTAAAATATTAAGTACGGAATTTTCCATTACGTAGACGGGCCAACGAATTCTCAACGTGTTTTTGTTGTTTTTCACTCGGCGCGGTGACGTACGTTGTTTTTGCGTGCCTTGTGTACCTGAAG